CCGCCGCCGCCTCGCTCTCGCTGGTCGGCGGCGCCTCCGGCGGCGGCGCACTCAGCGCGGGGGCGATCAGCGACGCGGCGGCCCTGGCGGTGCTGCGCGTGCTGCGGCTGGCGATCACGGCCGGCAAGCCGCCGCTGGTGGAGGTGTCCCTGGACCTTATGCACAAGCTGATCGCGCTGCGATTCCTGCAGGGCGCGGCCCACTCTGTCGCAGCCGAGCGCGACGGCGGCGAGGGCAAGGGCGAGAAAGGCAGGGCCGAGGAGGCGGAGGGGGCCGCAGGCGGCAGGGGCGGCGCGGGCAGCGTGTCGGATGTGCTGGCGCAGACGCCGCAGGCCGTCGCGGTGGAGCTCATCTGCAGGTGACGCGCGCGGGGCCCCGTGCTTTGCACTGGCGGCATGACAGGCGGTCCACCTGCAGCTCTCATAGGTGACTGCAGGGATGTCGTGGCGAGGTAGCCCCGGTTTGGAGGAGGGCGCAGCTGTGCTGGAGTGTTTTGCGGCTCCTGCGGCAGCGCTTCGTTCACCCCACACCACTCCCCCCCTGAAACCTGCAAACGTTAGGTGTGACGAGATCCCTGACGAGGGCGTGGAGGTGCTGGTGCTGCGGGGCCTGCTGACCGCCACCACCTCCACCACATTCTCGCTGCACGGCCAGGTGATTGGCGCCCGCTGTCGGAGGCGGGGGTGGCAGGCGACAAAGGCTTCAGGGCAAGGGCGGCGCTCGGGCGCGCCTGCATGGAGCTGGTTGGGGGTGCCCATGCGCAGGTGCGGCAGCTCGCTGACATTCCACCTCATCATCCGCGCGTGGTGTTGTTACGCTGCGCAGGCGCTGCTGCTGGCGGTGCGCACGTGCTACAACATCCACCTGATGAGCCGCAGCGAGGTCAACCAGACCACCGCCAAGGCCAGCCTCACGCAGGTGCGTATCTGGGGGGGACTCCGTAGCAGAAGCAGAGGAGGCACCGCACCTCAACGCGCCGCCCGCGCATCGCGGCTGGCTGGCGCGGCTGCTGTCGAGACCTGAGCCCTGATTCGGGCAAGTGCACCGAGTCCCATCAGCGCTGGCTGCCTCGACCGGCTCCTCACCCCACCCCTGCGCTCCCACCTTTCAACCCAACAGATGCTCAATGTGGTGTTCCAGCGCATGGAGGCAGACAGCATGATGGTGCAGGTGCGTCTCCTGGGCGCTTCCCTGATGCTGTGCGATGTCAACCTTGCATCATGCCTTGCTCTGGAGCAAACCCTCAAAGAACATCAAGCTGCCGGCTGCAAAAGCTTGACCCATGGCGGTATCCCAGCGCCTACAGCTGCACTGGACCCGTCAACATTGGCTGATGTGTGTGTCGCCTTCCCCCTCCCGACCTGCCCTGCGTCCACCACCCAGGTGAAGCCCATTGCCGTGGCGGACATGCTGTCGCTGGCCAAGGGCGGCATGGCCGCCCCCCAGGACGCGTCGGGCGTGACTCCAGCAGTGCAGAACTTCCTCAACAGCGTCATCTCCATGACGGGGTGCGCACGGCTGATGCTTGAATTGGCAAGCCGAGGGACATACCCGTCGTGGCGGCAGTGGGCAATCTGCATGGAGCCGCAGCTCATGCACGTGGTGGTCTAGCCCTTTCCCCGCAGAGCACTGCTGCACCAGCCCTCCGTGACCTTGAGCCCCTGACGCGTGTCCTCCCCTTTGCAGGTACGGAGGCCCAACGGCGCAGCAGCAGGCCGATGCGCTGCGCAGCAGCGTGGCCGCACAGTTCACGGAGCAGCAGGGCGAAGGCGGTGCCCCTGGCGGCCCCTCGGCCGCAACCCCCTCACAGCCGCCGGGCCCCCCGCCGCAGCTCGCGCCCCCCTCGCCGCCGCCGCCGACCGCGGCTGCTGATGAGGGCGGCGCCGCAGCGGCCGCGGCTGGCCCCGCCGGCGCCAGCAGTGCCAGCAGCGAGGCCAGCGAGGAGGACGACAGGGAGCGCTTCAAGCTGGCGGCGGCCCCCGCGCGCGCAGCTGCCAGCGACGCCCAGGGCAAGGCCGAGGGCGGGGGCGGCACGGCTCAGGGTCATTCGTCGCACCACTCGGCGGGTCTGCTGCTGAAGGATGCGTTCCTGGTGTTCAGGGCGCTGTGCAAGCTGTCCATCCGCACCAGCGACAGCGCCACGGTGCTGGACCCCACGGCTGCGCGCGGCAAGGTGCGCGCCTCACGGAGCCACAGTCAGCCCTCGCCCCAACGGCTTGCCCCAAAACAGCTGCCACTCCTGGCTTTTGTTGGCTTTCTGGTCGCTCTTTGGGTGAGGGTGTCGATCCTGCATTTGCAACGAGCCCTCCAGCTTGCTCGACTCCTATGGAACCCCTCAGACCCCACCTTCGCCCCCCCCCCTCATGTCGTGTCCCTGCCAGCTCCTGGCCCTGGAGCTGCTCAAGGTGCTGCTGGAGAACAGCGGGCCCACCTTCAGGGGCAGCGAGAAGTTCACGGCGGCGATACGCCAGGTGAGGGCTGCAGGCGGGTTTGGAGGGCCCGGTGGGGAAGTCGACATAGGCTAGGGTCGTGCCCGTCGCCGTGCCACCTTTGCGCAGCTGATGCAAAGCTGCCCTGTTTCGGGCCACGCTCATTCTTTGGCCCCTCACTTCTGGATGCTCCTGTCCTATCTCCTGGATTGCAAACCTTGCTCCCCCTCCCGGGTCCCCCCCCCCCCGCAGTACCTATGCCTGAGCCTGCTGAAGAACAGCGCCTCATCCATCCCGGCGGCCCTCCAGCTCAGCGCTTCCATATTCCTCAGCCTGCTCCTGCGGTTTAGGGCTGCACTCAAGGCAGAGGTGCGGAGGGCGGCGCTTCGCACGTGTTCCAGGGCTCATGTTGGGCGCTGCACAGGCCAAGGGACTTTGAAACCTTGTAGCCGCCCTCTCTCGTCCGTGACGTCAGCCACGTTGATGACCTTATATCTGGCGTCGCACAAGAGTCTACTATCAAATATTTGGCTTTTCGTGCGGAATCTTGTGCCCTGTCGCACTGTATTCTTTTTAGCCCATCCCTCTATCCTCCATTCTGCACGTCCTGCGCCGCGTTCCCCTCGGTGCCCTTCACCCCCCCTCCGGCCTGCCCGGCACCAGGTGGGCGTGTTCTTCCCCATGATCCTGCTCAAGTGCCTGGAGCCACCCACACCCGGCAGCGCCGCGGCGCCCGCCGCCTCGGCCCCGGGGGGCCCAGCGATCAACAGCTACAGCTACAAGTGGGTGGTTGCGGGGCTGGTGCGACGCAGCGGGCTGTGCTTTCTTATATCTCGAACGTTGTGCTGCTTGGTTAGCCTTGTTGTCGGGTGTTTCCGGGCATATCGTTGCAACTTGGCGTCTGGCCCCCAACGTATGTGCTTGTTACCAATGTCTGTGAGCTTGTGTGCCGCTGTGGGCTCTGCTGCTCCCCTGCAGGGTGGTGGTGCTGCGCTGCCTGCGTGAGGTGTGCTGCGAGGGCCAGCTGCTGGTGGACCTGTTTGTGAACTACGACTGCGACCTCAACAGCTCAAACATATTCGAGAGGCTCATCAACGGACTGGTGAGGCGGGGCGTCACGCAGAGAATGCACAACTGCATTTTGGGGGCTGCAGACTGCTGGGGTGCCTTGTTCCAGGCCATGGGTAAAGTTTGCTCGCTAACTATGATCTGTCTTGAGACGGCATTTTTGTTTGATTTGTGCACTCCGGCAAGTGCAGCCAAGTCGCTCGCGTTGAGTCGTGCGTCGCCAATCATATGCCGCCCTCCCCCCCTGCAGGTCAAGATGGCCCAGGCGCCCCTGACCCAGGGCGCCGACCACACGGCGGTGCAGCAGGAGCAGTGGCTCAGGCAGGAGGCGCTGCAGGTGCCGGGCGTAAGGGCGCGGGGGGGGGGGGCTGAGGCCGAGGCTTGGACATGGCGAGCTAGGTTGTGAAATTCAGCAGGACACCCTGTCTCATGGCTGGCCTCATGCTTGATTGGGCGTGACATCAAATGCTGCAATACTAATTGTTGCGTGTGCTCTCAGTGCCTGTCGAGCGCCGCGGAGGGCCTGCTGACCTGGTACAACGCGGCCACACAAGGACAGCTGGGCCACGACGATGCCGGGTGGGTGGCACTGCCGCGCAGCTGCGGTGCCCTTGCCGGCCGTGGCAGCCGGAGCGCTGTGGGGCGTCACTGCAGGCGATGCAGGTACCGCTACTGTCGCTGCACTGCAAGAGCAGACTGCAGCGTCATCTCTGTGGGATACCGACCGAGGGCGGGCCCTCTGAGGGTTGCCTCAAGCCGGCATGCTTTAGCAGGAAGTGGGCTCCAATCCGGCCTCCGCTCAGGTCGGACGATGACGAGGCGGCGGCATCGCAATCGGGAGCTCCGCCGCGGCCCCCGCGCGTCGCCACCCCCACCGCGGCGCCGGACCGCGACGGCGCCGCTGACGCCCTGTCCGCCGGCGGGACCGCGGCGGGGGCGGCGGGCATGCCCGCGGCGGGGCCCGTGAGCGGCGACGCGCTGAGCCGCAAGCGCGCGCTGAAGGAGAAGTGGCACGAGGGGGTGGCTCTGTTCAACAAGAAGCCCAAGAAGGGCATAGCACTCCTGCAGGTGGGTGGGGGCCCCCTGGCTGGCTCAGCATGGGGTAGCAATGGCACTGGAGGGTCGCGTCACCCACGCTGGCTAGGGTCCCATCTTTTAGCTCTCCTGGGGTCACTGAAAGCATGGCCCTGCGTGCTGCCGCATGTCATTTTGGCGCCCCGCCCTCCCAGTCCGAGGGCATGCTTGGCCCCAGCCCCGAGGACATTGCCGCGTTCCTGGCCAAGACGGAGGGCCTGGACAAGACCACCATAGGGGACTACCTGGGGGAGAGGGAGGACATGGCACTCAAGGTGGGCGGGGCGAGGTTCGGCGCAGCGCAGCTTCAAGGGGTCGGGGGGGCTGGCACAGGGATACCGGCGTCAGGGGGTCGTCCAGGGTCGAAACGATGGGGAGATTGGAGGGGGTGCTCGTGTTCATGAGTCGTTGGCCGCTGCCCCTGCAAGGCCTGCGCGACACGCACCCCAGCATGCACTCCGCCCTGCCCGTTGTGGAACGCCCCCCGGCGTCCTCACCAGCGTGAGCTGGTGCCCACCTCCCGGCGCCCTCCCCCCTCGCCACCCCAGGTCATGCACGCCTACGTTGACGCGATGGACTTCAGCGCCCTCGAGTTTGACACCGCCATACGCACCTTCCTGCAGGTCAGGCGGCGGGGGCGTGCCCGGGCTTGGGCCAGAGGCGCCAGTCTTGCGCTTTTTTGCCAGGCAGTGGCTTGATGCGGCCAGGGATGCGGTGTGCTGTTAGCGAGCCTCGAGCGCTGGCAGCAGTGGGGGGTCATTTGGGCTCCCAAGCGCGTGAAGAACGCCCTGGGCCCACCTGATTTCCTCCCACCCCCCTCCTCCCCGGCCCAGGGCTTCCGCCTGCCGGGTGAGGCCCAGAAGATTGACAGGCTCATGGAGAAGTTCGCGGCGCGCTACATCAGCTGCAACCCCGGCAGGTGAGGTTGGGGCCCCGACACCCGGCCCCTGCGCGCACCAGCCTGACCCCTTCACAAGTTGAAATGTCCTGCACCCCTGCATGGTAGATTTGCCATTCTAAAACATGCTCACAGTGTCGTGGCTGCTGTGGTGCCGCTATGTCATCACCCCCTCTTCCCTCACACCCTCCCCAAACCCCTTCCCATCCCAGCTTCAAGAGCGCTGACGTGGCGTACGTCCTGGCCTACAGCGTCATCCTGCTCAACACCGACGCCCACAACCCCCAGGTCAAGAACAAGATGAGTGTCGAGGGGTTCATCAAGAACAACCGCGGCATCAATGACGGCCAGGACCTGGACCACGACTTCATGAGGGCACTCTACGAC